CATCTCAAATCATATACCTAAGTACCTACACACTCATATTAAACAATACCTAACAAAGAGTTTGTAGTCTTCTTTACTCTGCAGACTTTGGTGGCTAAAGAAAATGTAATGTTACAGACATGAATATTTTATCGCATGTTGGAATAGAATGTTGAGATCATCAATTTGACAAAGTGTTTTGAATGCAAATAAACATGTACAAAATTCACAGCTTTCTAAAGCAATGTCAATGAGTTAAAATTTGAAAACATTTACTTGCTAGGCAAGTGGGCTTATCAAAAGAAAGGTTGGCTATTATTGATTTATTTTTTAACTGAAGTCTAAAGAAGTGCTCTGCTTTCATTAAATCATTAAAATACAAAGATTTTATTTAAACTAAAATTTCAAATAAATGTGAAAGCTCATGTTGTCAGTGCTGTTATTATTGGAACTATCTTGTATTTCTGTGTTAATACATCCATAGAAAATTAATACAGCCATCTTTGTTTCCATAAATGGCTGGAGGATTTGCAAACTGAAAGTAAATGAAACTAAATATGTACCAAATGAAACCCAATACCCAATGGCTAACAGCAGTCCAGTACATGGCTCAAGGCTAGATTGAGCCAACAAAAAACAAAAGTATCTGGACTGCCAAACCCATTACTGGCACCTGAACCACATACAGTAGTGTATTATGTTTTACCGTATTAGGATCAAATGTCTTTTTTTTTTACTAAAGAAAGAAATTCTCTTGTATTGTACACCTTTCTTGAATTTCCCTTGCTCACGCTATATTTTTAATATTTGAAAACATTTTCATTTTGTCTACCACCATCAGGATTTCTGTGATTTGTTCAATAATCAGGGAGAACTAAAATAGATTTTGCATTTGATTTATAGTAAATTCAACAAAAAAAAATATTTACTGATGATATGAGAATTCGTTGGTGTCAAGGTCTGGCCTAATGTAAATCCTCTTCTATCAAAAAAATTATAGACGTGAAATATATTTTTATTTGTCAATTATTCACTGTCAATTGAAATCAATAATTCTTAACTTAGGAAACATACTGATAGATAATTAATTTTGTCTACCACCCCCATATTATCTTTAGACACACCTTATGTCACTTTCCACAATTATATAAATTAACTGTCCTTATAGGTTTGTTTATTGATCATAGTAAATAATAATTTAGGATTATTGGTTTTCTTTCGGTCTTAAATTTACATAAATCTTATGTTATGGCTATTAAATTCATTATACAAATCAATAATTGACTAATAAAAACACACAAGCGGATAATTAAACTCCCACCTTCTAAACCTGATTCATCATTGCACATCAATTTTATATCTCACAATATATGCAAACTAACTGTCCTTGAGTAAATCCTAAATAATGTACAGTATTAATCAACTATACTATATAATATTTTCAAATTTAAACTTAAATTTTATTCTTTTAATGCCTTAAAAATAAAACAATATTTCAGCCTTTTCATTGGTGTTTCTTTTGGTGCTGGTATCTACTGTACATTCACATAATTCCAATAAACTTCAGTACACAATTCTGATCTTTTCATCACTGCCAAATTTTTCATAAAATATTCCAAGGAGGCAACAAATTCTGGTAAGCAATATATGGAATTTTACATTATAACTAAAATATTACTGCCATTAAATGATAAATTTGCAGCTGCTCTAACCGAAACACATTTGACCTGGCATGAATTGATAACATTAAAGCCCTCCCAAAAAGTTATTGTATACTTTCAAGTAGAAATTTTGATATACCATTGAATTCAATTATGTCATATTACTCAAGTTTTGATAGTGTAATGCCGGCCAGCATCAGGACAGTTGACAACACCAGAGATAATTATGAAATAATAAGCACAATATACTGTATATTACTTGATGACCCAACTTAACTCTCTTGCCTCCCACCCCCAATCTCATTTGCTTACATGTATGTGCTGGAACTGTCATGCAATTCATAATCTAACAATAAATTAGAAAATCAGTTCTCACAGCAGGGTTATAATTTGCTACAGTCAGTTGGCACCAGGCGTCTTCATTTCATGTATCTTCTCCATGTACTGAGAAGGATATTCATAAACTGCAAGAAACTCATCTACCAGACCAGTCATCAATCAAATCTATAGTAATATACTTGAGTAGGAAGTTATTGGGGGTTCGACCGAACCCCCTTTTCGAACAGTTTACTAACAATAGTGTAATTTTATTATTAACTTTTTTATATTAAAGAAATACTTTCGAATTAAAATGGCTTATTGGAAACCCCCTTCACATGAACCTGGTTAAAAATTACTATAAAATTTATCATACAAAAATACTAGACATTTTTTTTTCATTTTGACTGAATTTACCACTTAAACTGTTAATTCATGAGACACTTTTGCAGTTCAATATCGCTTGCGTTTTTGATCCCCTGTTGAGATTAAGGGAGGATTTCAGTATCCCGTCATCATAAATGTAAACTACAAAGTATAAGCTATGATTGCAATAAATTGATTGAGGAAACATCAAAGGAAATCATTGCTTTTCAACAACTCTCCAACTACTTCCTTCAATGTCACATGACGTTAAAAAAATAGTTTCAAATTCTGCTATAAATAATCATTTAAATTGAAGCTAAATTAAAATTACATTTTGGTTTTGGCCAATATTCATTGATTAATATTTTACATTACCTAAAAAATTTAATTTGGAATGATATAAAAATCTTCCAAATTGTTCTTAATTGCTTTTCAAAAGCTAATGTCCCATCAAAACTGTATACTGTACATTCTCACACTTGGTTAAAGCTACCATTTGTTATAATCCAAACTTCAATTTGATAGTTAATGCCTAGATTTAAATAAATTGGGTTGCATTATATTGCACCAAAGAAATTTTAACAATTATGGAAGGGCAATATTATTATGCGAGCCACCCAAACAAATATGATCCTACTTAAATGTTTCTCATACAGGCTACTGTACATACACCTAGGCCAGAGCCATTCTACATACAGTACATATTAATATTAATAATGTACCTAGGGTGTAGGGTGGCCATGTCATACCTAAGGTACTGTACGTCACAACCAACCTAAACATTACCTAGGCCAAGGCTTGGACAGGCACACACCTATTGTAAGCACATACTCATTGCATAAATGATATTCCCTTACCGACAATAAGACTAATTTATTGCTCGATATGGTAAAAAATTGTTTTTGAAAACAATTATAATACATGAATTCAAATTGCCAACTTTAAAGGTCATGGTGAGCATAATTGAATTGAATCTATATGGTTTTGATAACGAAACAATTATCTATATCAAAAGGCAATTGATAAAGCCAATGACCGCATTCAACCTACAGTATACTATTTTTAAATGCTATATTTGTAAATGATCATACAGTGACAGAGGATATTACACTTAGAACTACTAAAATTAAAATAGTATTTAAACACAAAAAAAACATTTAATTAAGGGGATGGGAGGTAGGGAGGGGATTATACTTTGGTCAAACCCCTTATTCAAGAGTAGGATTGGATTGCATTTATTTTGAAATTCTTAACATTAACAGAGAATTTCAGGATAACTATTTATTTGTAATACCATTTAGTTTTAATATTTTAATACTTTTGTGTTTAACCATATTAATTATGTACTTTTAGCAACTGGAAAAACAAATTTCATTATGTTCACTTGTTTGATTCTTTAAGCATTTACAAGGGGTCCTTGTACCTAAAAACAAAGATAAACCAAACCATCTCCTTTTGAATCAAAACCATCAAAATGATAAAATTCCCCATCAACAATCCTTCAGTTCTCAGGCTGAAGATAAAAGCACTTCTCCTGGCAAACCTCTCACGGCTCTCATGGGAACCCCTCCCCTTCAACTCAATAAATCCTGGTTACAGGCCTGGCTCTACCTTAGCAAACATCATGGTTATCTTAGTTATAAATACTATAATTTTTGCCCCTGATGACAAACACAAAGAACATTGCTTTGTTTTGTAAACATAGGCCCGGTAGTAGGCCTAGCTGAATCTATTGACTTACATTGCTGTTGAGAAAAAACATAGACATTGATCTTCCTGAGCTACTACAGGCTAGAATATACAGTTACTAATGTACTACACTTTTTTTTTTATAAGAACACATTTTATAAGAACACTGAGGCTGAAACTGCTTAAAAATTAAGAACAAAATAAGAACAAATTGAGGCTAAGTTAAAATGTCAAATGAGGTTTTTTTAATCATTTTTTTTAAGTAGAAAAACAAACAAAAAAATATATCTGTACCATATGTGCAGTAGTTGTGACTATGTAATACCCTCTATTATTACAGTACAGTAGGTGTAACTGTCATTTGGGGCCATTTTTACCGTGTCTTTTTTCTAGGCCATTTTTTCTGGTGCCTTTTTTCAGGGGCCATTTTTATATACAGTAGAATACTACTGTTCAATATAATTTTCTGTGTTTGAAATAAGAACATTTTGAACCTGAAATCAGCCAAAAAATAAGAACACCGAGTCTGGGCAAAATTTTATTGGTTCTTATTTTTTTAATTGTAAAACGATTCAAATATGAACAAGGTACAGTAATCAGGCGACTATCCGTGTCAAAGTCTGTTCAATTAATAAATAATAAACCAAACCAGAAAACGAAACTGATTGGCAAAAACAAAAGTAATGATCTCTCTGGGCTTAGCTAAGTATATGTTTTTGATTTGGAACTTTGTTTCACCATTATTCAAATACGCATATTACACTACACAACTGTAAAAGAATTGTTATCTTGTGTAAATCCATTAAACTGTAGGCCTATGCTCAGGTAAAATATCAATTGAATGGCCGAAAATTTCATTGAAAGCGATTTTTGGATAAGTGTGCTCGCCATAACCTAAACAGAGGTCACTCTCCACACGGCATGCTAGAGAGAACCCACACTCGGGGCCTAAGCTGAACAAAGCATATACTTAAATAACAGACTTACCAAAAAAAGTATCTTTCTGTGAAATGCAAGATAAACAAACGTCAAAGAATCAAACAACCACTCACAAGGAAATAATATTCCAAAATATTAATACAAAGTCAGATCAAATCCAAAGTTTCAGAACAACAACGCTTACCAAATTCTGTTCCGAGTCCGGTCGAATAAAAGCATTCTTTCTTTCTCTTTTTCCGAAACTATTGCCTCAAGGCTATGACCTGGGTGGCGCTTTCTGTGGTATGAGAAAGTGGTGATACCTTGGTGGGACTATCAACAGAATGGAATCAATTAATTTACCTAAATTAATCAATAAATATATAAATAATAGAATTATAGATCAAATATTTACATAATCAAATGTATATATTATAACAGAATTAATTATATTTTTATATAAAAACACTTTATTATATGGTTTAAAAAGCAATAAAACCTAAAACATAATGGAAGAGTCTAAGCTAAAACGTGCTTGTCACGGTTGAGTTAACAGAGGGTGTACGCTGGTGGCAAGAAGAATAGCACTGGGTTAAATTAAATAATAATGGTTAAATACACGATCAAAAACATTTATATAAAATAAAATATTACTGCAATGACAACTTGTGAATTTCTCGAGTGAATACACTGCAAGGGATGATACATGTACTATTGGTGTTAAATATATACGATTCTGATTATTTAACCAATCGCTCAAAATCGTCATCTTCACACTAGGGATAGCCTACGTGAACAAAAAATTCGTTCCTATGAAAAACGTGCCCTGCCTACGGGATTGAAACGGACTCCTGCCGAGACTTTTATCAAAGTGCGAGTAGTATCTCGTAAAAAATATGGTACTTTAATTTCTGCTTAAATGTCTATGCATTTAGCAGTTAGGCCTATCAATAATCCTTAGTATAAAAGACCAATGCGTTTGGGCTATTGATTCACATCTTTTAATTATTTTTCGTGCGGTCAGATCCCAGTCGTCGGACACGGCGTTTCTTCTTTGTATTATGGTGGGAGTGCGCGAACGACTAGTTTCAAATGTCCCTCTCTAGTTTTTATATCATAAAAAAATATAAATTATAGTAGACTTTAATTTCCACTCAGATATACGGGGATGAGTAGGCCTACGTGGGTGTTTCTCTGTGTGTATGGGGGCCGACTAGTTCACGCATCCCTCGTCATGAGGTGGTTTAATAGTGAAGTTTTCCCCACGGTTAATTTGTGCACACATAAATTACAATCTGAAACAAAATATCTTCATTGCAAGCACGTGAATACAGATTAAAAAACAGGGAAATATATGATAGAATTATTGTGGATGAAACTACTACAAAATGAAAGGATTGAAGAAATAACAGCTTTTTTTCTGCATGGTTTATCCTAGGTCCATGGCGGCGAATAAAGGATGAACGGTTGCTATAAACAGTTATCATAGAGAATCCGAGTATTGTTAATTATTACGTAAACCACTTTACAATGACTGGAGTCAGTTTATTCAAGGAGGAATTAATTTAAGTTGGAAAAGCGTCATCTTTAAATTTTAATAGAGTAATTAGAAAAATATCAACTAATAAATAATTACTGGTAGGCCTATTCTAAAAATGTCATCTTCAATATTCATCATCAATAATTCATGTTTTGTACTGTCGTATTTTGTAAATCATAATAGGCCTAAATCCAGGAACATTCACTGCTAAATTTAGGCATTCAACTATTTTATTGAAAGTTTGATACAGACAGTCATACATTGCTGTAATCAACGATAATTTATATTATCAATCTTCAAATTCAATTCTTGTAACATTTGGTCCATTACCGCCACACGATAAAAAGAAAATTGAGTAGGCGTAACAGTACAGAGACAAAATGACCACTGAAGTCGGCATGTCGGTCTAGTTTTCACTTGACTCTGTTATCACGGCGACCGGAAGAACCTGATAAGACGGATTTAATAATTTGTGAACATTCTTGGTTGACGTCATCAGTTCACTAATATGGTAGAATAAAGTTCATTGCGAACATTATAATACCCATGGTCCCCGTTATTCTTTTCCTTTCCCGTTTCCCCCGAATCTAACGAATATAATAGGTCTTGAGAGACACTGTGTTTATCAGTGGGTACGACAGATGTAACATTTTGAAATCTACCAAGCGTTTAGTGGGATTGTTATATTCAAATTTATAAACCTTTATAAAACATTTTAATGGACATGTTTATATGTTCAATAGAGTATACCGATGTAAACCCTACATATATCCAGAGGACACTCGCTGGGGTATAAAGCCACTAAGCACAAGCTCGGTAGCATGGTGGTTACCGGTATGACACTTTATCTGGAGGTCGTGGGTTCGATTCCCACCCGAATCATTTGCGAACTTTAGTCTTCGCAAGTTGGGAACGTACTGAGCATTCGGTACGAAAACACGTCAGGGCACTGACATCACTCCTATGATATACCGTATAAGATGAACGATGAAATTTCTTCACTTCGGCCAGAGTACCTGATAATCCGCTTCGTACAAATAAATCTTGCCAAATTCATGGTCATTTACACTGAGATTTAAAAGTTAGGCTATTATTTATATTTTTATTGCGTATTGCCAAGTGAATGCAGACAATTAAAACTTTGTTGTAGCACGGAGGTTAGCAATATCACCACTGCGGAACAGGATTTAAGAAAGAAACCGATTACCGGTATATTTATGAACAGATAAATCAACGGTGCCGATGTCAGACTAAAGTTTGCCTTTGTAGTAAGACAATTATGGATAAATTTACGGTCCCACAGCTTAGCTAGCTCTGCGAACAGTTCATAACTGACTTGATATCTATAGGTACCGACATACAGGTATTACAGGATGTCGGTACATGATAGGCATCTGTTTTGTTATCTCAGCTTTAGATTAGACCTAGCCTAGGCCTAGTATTTGTAGTGCTTATTGTGCGGTGTTGTGAATGAAGATACTGTATAGGGCCTAGGCCCTAGAATAATAAAGCTAAATCATGTATAACAATACCAGAAAAACTTACGGTACGGGTTACTTTTACACAAAACGATGATATAGCCTAGGTCGAATTGAGACACCACGTCAAAAATATATATTTTTGACGTATAAAATGTCATGGCTTTACCACTGATCGTGATCGACAAACGGGCGTTCACACGTTTCCAACTTCAGACTTAGCTGAGTGTTTTAAAGCAGCTCTTGAGTGTAAAATTTAGTTCACCAAACCGTTTAAAAACAAATGAGCACAATACACGCGTGGCTCTCGTGTATATCAATTATCTACATCCACGCTCGCACGCTATAGATTTGAAAGGAACAGCAATAGGCAAAATCTGAAAACTGATTAACTTAAATTTTAAAAACTTCAAATAGCTTTTGAATCAAACATGTTATCAACACAGATCGAAATAGGCCTGATTATTTTCCCTGATTTACTGGCTATTTGCTATGAAAATTGATCAGCAGCCAAATAAAGGAAAAGAAGAAGATGGATCTGTTTACGAACAACTTATAATACCCCTATTACAACAATCCATTCAAACAGGGCACTACCAATTCCCCCACACAGTATAAACAATACATTAACTAGGCCTACACAATAAATATAGCCTAAAGCAAAGGTCAAATTAATACACCTCTTCAAAGAATAGAGCCTGGATTCTTTTAAAACGTGACAGACATCCTGGTACTCTATTGGCTTTAGAAAGTCCCCTTTCAAACAATAAAATGCTTGATAAACATTTTTTTTTAATCATGTGATTTATGATAGCGTATGGATAATTGTTGGGCAATGTTAGTTACTCACAAGCCTGCCTATCATGCTAGTACGTATGTGAGTGATAGGCCTTAAGAATAATCGACATTACCGGTAGCAATTTCATAATTTTGTTTTCAAGACCTGCCTATATTGATTAATTACTTTAACAACTCTACGTCATCACCAGTCTTACCATGGCAGTTGATTACTATTACCTTCTTGTAAACTTAACTTGACTTAACTTGACAAAAAAAACCAAAAAAAAAACCCCAACAAATTTACAAAAGAAAAATAACAATACATCACATTATAGACTTAAACAATGAAAGGTATATTATGGCCTATAAATAATAGTCAATAAGTCACCTAATGTAGCAAATTATAAATTTTTGCGTAAAAAGCTATTAGTAAACGAATGTAGATAATTTTGAGGGTCATGTTTAGACCAAGGGGGCATATTTCTTTCATCGATAAGAGCCGCCCGGACTCGGACACAAACCCCGATATAAACCATGGATCCAGAATCGTTCTAGGCCTACTCTGACTACTGACGCACGCAACATTATTTTTGGAAGACTTTAGAATAAACAGCAGTAACCCAGGGAGATGCATCCATGAGATATTTTAAGCGAATTATCTGTAAATCAACTACGAGTCATCCGAATAATCTGCTTGAACATGAAGGCACGTGAGGAAAACTAATCAACGTTTTTTTAAATTGCACGATCGATTGTAGAGATTGCGTGGTAAAAACATATACAATGTTTGTGGTAGGGCTACTAATGTTACCACCTCCGTAATAATGTAACGCGTTTTGGAGCTACAATTCGTAACATACTGTACGTCATCAAGAGGCACATTAGCGTCATCATAGTCACAATCACGGAGACTCATCAAAGAAAACGAGTACAAAGAAAGTGCAATATTTATCCAGGGACTTGTAAAATAACGATGTATGAACTATTGAAAATTTGAAATTGATAATGTAATTAGGCCTACAACAAAAGTACCGGTACTTCAGTTTTGTCGCCTTCCATTACCTCCATCTATCTCAACAGAAGGTAAATTTACGTTTCTAACAGGGCCTATAGGCTTTTGTGATTTTTTAGCGACTTTACCTACGTTGCAGTACTTAACTTGTGTAATAGCGTAGGCTTATGCCTTCAGTAGTTGTCAAACTTTTGAAAGTTTAACAGTATGGAGTTTGGGCGGGCAAACGCCCTTTTTGAAGCTCGCGCCCCCATCCCACAGGGAAGTTTTAAAGCAAAACAAATATGCTAAAATCACCTCATACCACCTTATTTGGCCAGCTACCTCCCCTCACTTTATCACCTTCCCTACCCATATCATCCCCTTCCACAACCATTTCAATACTCCTAAATACGTCACTGCCAATTGACAAACGTTGAATGATGGATGATGGACAGAATATACAACCGGTTGGAAGGACGATGCACCGTGGGTTGCTCAGCTGAGAATCAACACCTCGCGACATTTTATAAGGCTCGAACTTGAACATCTGTTTCTACTTTTGAGAGTGATGTATGAACGTTAGCCATCTATGACTATCTATCATCGAGAATGTTAACTTTAAATGGCAGGAAGGGTTGTCCTATTGGGCTATCTATCATCAAGTAGGCCTATCTTGCATCTTACATGCAGGGAGTATGTGTGTATGTGCGCGTATCTGGTGACACGTGACGTGTCGTGAAAAAAAATCTACTATTACATGACAGTGATTGAAGCATTGTCATACAGTTGTAAAAACAGTGTCTAGTCAATCTTGTCCGCTTTTAGACACGTTAAAAGCTAACATGTTTAGCCTATAATGTACACTTTAAGTGCTTCGGTATTTGATAATATCGAAATACGTTTAATGCTAAACACGTCAAGATCCTAAACATGTTAAGGTAGTAAACGTGTCGCCGAAAGCGAGAAAAGACTGTCACTTTTACAGAGCTTTGTGTTAAATTAAGGCTTTAACTAAAATTAAAATGCTAATATTAATTGCTTTAACTAACCGCTGCTTTTACAGAGCAGTTAAAAAAATATGTTTTTGCATAGGATTTGTACTTGACTTTCATGTTCTCTTAAACAAAGCGTTGCTAGCATTTTGGTGAACTTTAATAATTGCTCTCGTGTGGCGTCCCCATTCTTCAAAAGCATAACGCTGTATAAAGCAAGACAATTTATTGATGGTTTAATAAAAAATGTCGTCATTGTTAGTCCATCAGTTATTTTTACAACCAGTCAACTATAGACATTTTTAAGAGTTGCTAGATGCATGGAGAAGAAAACGGATAATAAAAATTCACTTATGATTACCAACTACACAGTATATCCGCTTCCTTATAACGACTTTGGAGAAAAAAGGATTACAGACAATATACATTTGATCTAATATCACAAAAATTCAACAGCATAATGGTCTGCTTACGTGATATACGGTAATAATTTATGAAAAATGGATTGTGTACCGTAAATGCTCGAATAAGCGCCGCGGCGCTTATAAAATTGTTTGAGGCTTCAGTGCGGCGTTTATTCGAGAGCGCCGCTTATAAAAAAAAATACTGGCGTGGCACTTTCCAGGCTCGTTCCCATGTTACCTATTATCACGTATTCCCGTAGGCCCATCCTAGGTTAAATATCATCGTAAACAAACGTTATGATAAAGAAATGCTTGTGTCTTCATTGTGTGATATAGCCTATTCATTATAACACTGTACACATTGTATTATTGCTTATTCGAGCATTTACGGTATTGATATTTTTGTTTGTTATACCAACGATACGATAATTCATCAGCCGAAAGTGTTGGTTAATGTTACGCCTGGTTTCCATAGAATCGCTACAGGTTTTTCACTGCAATCCTTGCACTGCGTGCTGTTCCAGATGACGCGCTATCGGGAACGCTCCCTGATTTAACTGACCAATCAGCGTCACCAAAGGACTCGGCGAACGTGTAGCGATTTTTTTTAAATGGAAATCAGGCTTCACCGATTGGCTGGCTGTACAAGTTAAAAAAAATATATTATTGTGTTAAAATAAATTATAAAATTTTATGTTCAATTATGTAAAATCCATAAAAAATAACTAGAGTGCAGTCAATAGCGTGTGTACTTCTTCCCACTGATCTCTACTACCTGTATAATTAACTGGATCGTTGTAGTTCTCGCCATTTATGTATTTATTAAAAATTCGCCATCTTGATCATCGTCGTCATAAATGGCCATAAGCATCTCAAATCTTCGTCATCGTCGCCGCCGCCACCACCAACTATCCTCTATTTTAAAGAAACTGTTTCTGTACATTAACATGTATTTTGCTCATTGGAACTTTGTATGTAGGTCTATTGTTCGTGTTACCTTTGTAAAAGGAAGTTGAATAAATAAATAAATATATAATTATCCTCCTCCTCTTCCTGTTTTCCTCAAAATATTTTCCACCGGCCTCCACCATTTCCCCAAACCATGAAAGGACTTACACGGACAGGTATTTCTTCTTCTTCCGGTTTGTATAGGCCTCTCAGACGCGGCATTATCGTAACCTGATATATTATTTAGCTTAATAAAGCAATTTTTCATAGAGACATGGCGCAACTATTGACATTTGTTTGTCTTTCATATATAATTTGTAATATATTTTATTTGTTGCTTTTATACAGGTTTGTGATTTTTATTGGCCTGTTTAAATCTTCATGTTAGTTAATTTTCTCTGTTTTGTTTATGATTAAGTTACAACATATTATTTCTAAATTGTGTTTCGTTATAATTATGCCTATTTTTAAGTTTACTTCATTGTCAGTAAAAACTGTTAATTTGGATGAGCCATATTATCGTTGTGTGTGCCACCGATCTTAAGGTGTTACTCCTAATAAATTGATTGATTGTGTAAGGGAAAAATTGATACTGGAAACTGCGGTGCAATTGCGCTCCCTAAACATGTGACAGATGATGTAGAGATGGCAGTTTGTAGTAGAGTTCCTTCCAGAGAGCAATGGTCCTTTGGAAAAAAATTAACTGAAATTACTGGGTGCAAATAGTTGCCGATGGTACTCTTTGTATTTTCAAGGTGACTCAAATCATACCAAATAAGTTCTTGTAGTTTTCTACTTAGTTTTCTTCATTCATCTGTATTTACCTCTCTTAATCAGTGCAAAGAGACTAAGTAATATACAAATTTTAATCAGTGCCTAGAGTCCAGAGACTATATACGAAATATCCGTCATTATACTTTTTATCTCCCAGACAATGAGTGACGTTGACAGGCATTTGATGTTTCTGACATGTAAATGATGATGGTGACAGGCAAACTGATGACGCCAGTGTCTCATCAAGAGGACGCTTTGTAATCTGTAGGCCTAACACCATCCTCATCATAACACCATGTTCAATAGTGATGTTGACTCAGGGAATGGTATCAAAAACAAACATATGACACACACAGAACCTGCTTATATCACTTCTGATTTTGATTGGCATATTATGTAGGCCTACATGATAGACAGCAAAAGCAGATTTCTGAAATATAAATCAATATTTCAATCAATAAATCCTATTGTTGGGTCAAATTAAATTCTGTCACTTTATGTTTACCAATGAAAAATTGTTAAAATATATATTTGTCATTTTTTTTTATTGTCTTTTTTCTGTTACATAATTTACTGGTACTGTACCAGCTATTCTAAGGTGGATTCTGTGACGGTTGATGATGTTTCTACAGTATCGTCATTGTCTAAGCATGGAGCTATAATAAGAACTCCACTGTGTACTGTAATAAATATTTTATATCTATTTTTGATCATCAACAAAGAATATTTATAATAAATAGATTAAGAACCAAAGATATTATATTTATTGTAACACTTATCAACACAAAACACATTTTAAGTCAACAGTTCATAGACGTAAAATATAATCACAATGGATTACTTTTATTAATTACCAATGAAATTAATTTTCCAGAATAGGCTACAAAAGAAAGGCAAATTTTTATATAATAATGAGAATAATAATATAGGTACCATAAAACCTCAAACAGAAGCCCTAGGCATCTGTTTTTAGGACACTTGGAAGGGCTTCTTTTGGAGATGAGCTTCTTTTGAGATTACTTTTGCAAACTAAAGGGGGGCTTCTATTCAAATTGAGTGGTGCAAATTTTCGAATTTCTACTTTGCAACTACGGAATTCAAAATTCTGTGAAATTTTAAAAATATTTTATCCATGCTAGTACAATAAAATAATATTGATACTGACACGCTATCATAATATTCCAAGATAAAGTTAGTCTGAATGTAAATACTATCTCATTAGAAGCTCATATTATCTTGATTAAAAGCCCATGGGCTTCTTTTTGAGATTACTTTTGCGGACTGAAGAGGGGGCTTCTTTTCAAAATGGGCTTAATTAAGCCAATAGGTCTTCTATTCAAGGTTTTACGGTAATGAAAAATGAGTCTTCATGATGGCAATGCCCTCAAATTTAAAACTAAATAAACAAAATAGTAGTTTTTTGAATTTCTTTTGACCTCCTGTACCATTTTTCATTTTTGTTTTTTTTATTACAGTGATCATTAAAACAATGAAACATAAATCATCCCTGTCATCCCTAGAGATAAATGTCAATCATAGGCTGTCCATCAATCAATATGGTGTTCATTCATCCTAAACCTCTGTCCACACTATCAAATTTTCTTTGACAAAAAAAGTTATATTCCATATATAGTCATGATGTGACTATATATGGTCATGATGTGATGTCATCTGACCATATTTAGGCATGTCATATGCTTTTAAATTATTTAAATTTAATTATTAAATTTATTTATATTAAAAGTTTGTATTTCATCCCTTTAAACAAGCAATTAAAATATTTAGTTGAATTCTGTTATGGTTTTTTCCAGATTTCCTCTCAGATGGTATAATTACCTTTAAAAATAATTTTTACACCTGTTTACATGGAAATACGAAATGAAACAGATAGTTTTTTAATCAGTATCGTTTATTTATAGGCCTGCTATTGGTTTTATTGCCAGTGGCTATGCAGGCCTTTGTAGTTATATTTAGGGATTAACTTTACTATTAGTTTATAATTTAATTTTTGAGGTCTGTTATACCTTTGTTGTAGAATAAAATAATTTTAATTATAAGTTGTAATATAATACAATAGAATATATTATATATAATTATTTGAAACATGCCCCAACTAAATCAGACCTACAAAGCTGCTCTTCCAAGAATTATCTTAAAGGTACTGAAATATAATAATATACTTGAAATATTTTGAAAAATCTTATAGTACTTTGCATACTTAAATAATCAAAATATGTTACATAAGTAAAATAGGTTGAAATTCTACCTTGAAATACAATTCCATAAGGAAGAGAATTCCACAAATTAGTATCTACTAAGTATCTACTCAGCCAAAAACATTACCTATGCAGATTTTCTAGATTTTCTTCCATCACATAATTCTGCTACAGCATTAGCACTTGGCAAATTTTACCTACAAAAGAAGACTGAATTATTAAAAACAATAACAACAATCACAACAACAAATATAATACCAATAATAAAACATATATAATGATGCCTTTCAAAATAACAATAATGATAAAATAATTTTTATTGTATTATTTATAATAATAACAACAACAACAGCGTCATATTTAATACAAATCTATCAGTCTTCCATTGAGTACTGACGTCTTTAGAGTGAGGATCATCGTACTAGATCAAAACACACACATTCAAACAAAGTTAAATGGTGCACCAATGGCCATCATGCAAATCCTTACTTATTTCAGGTTGGAGCCAAATTTAACATGCATAATCCCGCAATAAGTGGTTTTGCACAGAAAAAGGAATCACCCCAAAAATAAAATTTCTATGTGCAATGAAATTATAGATTGTGCTCTCAAATGTTAGACCAAGTTAAAAAAAAAGGTAGTTTCTTGTCCTAATATTTTGAAAAATGGAGAATGAGGGCACTTTTTTTTCCTTTTTGTTTTTTACTCTGAGATGGTAAATCCAAGATGGCTGATGGGAAACAGCTACTATTTTCTCACTTTTACCAAGTAGACACATTGAAAGCAAATAAAAGAAGCACTAGACATGATTCAAACCATGTATCCCCAACACCACGAAAGATCGAGAGAGGAATTTTACTGATGCGAGTTAGCAATATTTTCATACTTTTAACGTAAACGTAAAATAAAGGAAATAAAAAATAAAAATAAAAATTTAAAAAAAATTGGATGCACGAGGGGACGAGAAACTGGTAATATTTTTTTATTTGGCCTTAAGTAATGACACCATCAGTAATGACAGCTGTTTTTATTTAGGTTAGATTATGAGATGTAACTTGATTTTTTTAAATATAATAAAATGAATTATATAACCTCTCAAGCACCTCAATGTTCATAAATAGAAGGGGTAATTCATATGTATACACAGGGATGGGGGAGGGGAAACAGTGCATGTATTCTTTTAGGAAAATTTACAAATTGATTGTTTCTTCCTTAGATGGTCAGACCTAGTATTTATGTGTGTTAGTTTGTTTCTGATAGGTCAGCAGAATACTTTCCATGACGATCAATTCAAAGCTGATTTCATGTCCCAGACAAATTAACATTACCATAATCATTAGGTATGAATATAATTATGCATATCTCACAATGTTGTCAAACAATCCAGATTACTCATGATTACTGTATGTAGGCCTACAGTACTGTTTTCATGTGGGGGAGGGGATATGATAATATAATACATACTCTAAGTATCGAAATGCATGCCATCGTGTCGGGATTCAATATTTCGGCGTTAATTATGTCATCATCAGGAATCCTGATGATGACATAATTAATGTCAAAATATTGAATCTCCTTATGATGACATAATTGACGTCGAAATATTGAATCCTGACACGATGGCGTGCATTTCGATACTTGGAGTATGTATTATATTATCTTATCTGAGATAAATCAGTGGACCTGTTGGAGGGGATATGTTTTGTACTCTCCAAAAACAGGAATCACATGGTTTAATAAATAAACATGTTATTCAATATTTGTATACTGTACATTCATACAAATCAATATATAAAGACAACTGCTATTTATTTACCTATATTTTTGAAGAAGTACAGTAAAAATATTATCAGCAATAATCATACAACCAATTAGTATGACAACTGGACAGAAAAGTACAGGTAAAGTTTTAATATAAACGAAAACAATTACTGTATTCTTTAATGAGTATTATTATCATTATCGTTTAATTAATTGGTAGAATGTTTACAATTAAATGTTTTAGCATAAGAATACATGTAAAATAATATCATCATTAAGAAAAACGTAAATGAAAAGCAACACATTAAGACCAGGCGGAACAATTAGCCTTGAAGTTCAACACCTGAATATGATTAATATTACCTGCTGTTTTGAAAGTGAACGTTTGAGACTGCTGTCAGCATAGCTGCTCGTTATACCTGTTTGTGATCGTAAAAGTGGTGAGTTGAAATGCAGGTAATGGAACGTTCTAATAAGCCTTAGAGCTTATAAATTCGGGCCATGTCCATCACTAGAATGTAAGTGTGTAAATCTCTATGTTATGAAGTCATACTACTCCTCATATTCACATCAACTCTCACTTAATCATACGAACAGAGTTAAATGTTTTTTCCTCCGTTTAATATGACTAAGTAACCACCGGAAATAATATGTTTGAATCAGATCCGGTATTAAAAATATAATGGATGGTGTGACATTCACAAAAACTGAAGTATAATATAATAAATTTTAAAATTCGACATAGATGATGTCATGGTATCCTGGGCTTAATGAGGAGAAGCAGACAGGAAAGGGGAGATAAGGAAGGGAGGTACATGAAGGAAGGGGATATGGGACCCACGAAGAGAAAGTTAGATAAAAAATGTTGATAGCCTTTATTTATTTATTTCTATTTTATTTATTTAGGCACACAAGACTTGCACCAAAGGATTGTCAATAACTATATCACTGTCCTACTTTGTAGGTGACAATCCCTTTCACAAGGCAAACATACACACACAATGCTTTACACAATAATATGAGGTTTAGGGAGTGGAGTCATTTTGGTCATGAGAAAAAATAATGCAACACTGACAGGAATTGAACCCAGGACCCTGGGATTAGAAGGCAAGCGTCTTAACCACCAAGTTAATCAACTCCACTTATTCTCTGTCTGGCTCTAAAGATAGGGAAGTGTTTCTTTGTTCATAGGCCTAAATAAAAATATAAAAAAGCCGATAGAGAACACAAAAATGACCACTTTTGGAGTAGGATTAAAGTATCTGGCTTGGCTCCAGAAATTTGCCGACAAGGGGTCCAACTTGTCTGACGGAGGAGCCCAAACCAAGAGGCTGACTAGAGCATTGAATAAAAAATCCCTATGAGAGTTTTTATGGCTTATATGGTCCAAATTGTGCATTTAGGGATTGGCAATCAAAATAACATTATTTGGATAGGGAAAGTATTATTTTTTAAATTTTTGATCTGACGATATCGTAGTGGCGTCTAGGTAGGGATGCAGTATATTAGACACTAACCGCCACATTGAAAATTCTAAAAAACTTTGTTTTCTATCAGATAAACAGAGATGGATATTATAATTTGTTCTGTTTTCCATTTACTACATTAAAAAAAATCTAATTCCTTAGATGTTATATACAGTTTCCATATTTCAATCTAGAAAGCTGTAAATATGAAAACAAATTCTCACTAGGGAACTGTATTCACCATTAAAATATATTTCTCCTTGATATAATATGTAAAATAATACCACAGTGTAAGGAAATCGTAATTAAGGGATTCCCTACACGTCACCAGTTAATAGGTTTATAGCATGCTTCTAAAATTCTTGGATTTCAACTTGTCATTGGCTTCAAACATATTATTTGTTTTTTTTTTTTTTCAAAATTTGTCCATAACATATAAATCATAATTTATGAAGACAAGTCAAGTTAACATAACACACACACACACAAAACTGTTCAATACCAGTAGGATTGTTAAAAAAAAAGGCATAAATTACCTGTGTGGGAGTATTTGTCCATTTTGTTATCTTAAAAAAAAAATTAAAAACATCCTAGAAGAAATTATTACTATATATTCTTTTTTTTTTTAAATATTTACAAATAATGAAAAACAGATCTAATCATTGTGTTTTGGGGAAATTGTTTTGTTGGAAGCAGTCTTCATTATAGACAATACAACTGAGTGTTTATGAAGAATGGTATTATACTCCTACGACTTTATCGCGCTCGGGTAATCATGCCTACATCTTCCTATTCAACAAAACTAAATCTTCCGATTTAACGAAGTTAATGATTGGAAAGTACATGACAGCTATATGTTTTGCCAGTCAACCGTGAAATATTTATAATCAACGTGTACCGCAATCAACCTTGTGGGTAATTTGAGAGATTTAATTGCAACAAATAGATAAACAATAATTTAATTTGTTTTCTTCAAATATCATTTATAAACAGAAGATTTATTGGGAATGAGATATCTTGAGATTTCTGAGAAGACATAATATAGTTTTTGCTTTAACTGGGCCATGTTGATAAAATCGTCTTTTCTTATACATTGGCCTAGGCTTTACTTTATATTTCGAGAATGTATATTTCAGTATTTCTTTCTTTGGTTATTGATATTTTTTAAATTTCTACATTTCAATTTAGAAAATTGAACAATATTGTATTTCATTTATAAATAGGATGTTGATATAGACAAAGATATTTACAATTTTTTTGTAGATGTATTTAAATTTTGATTTACTTTACTTCTGTTAAAAAACTCATTTTTAGTTTTGTTGCTGCCATAGTTTTTATAGGCCTACCTGTCGAAGAAAGAAAAATATATATAATTTTAATAACTTAATACATTTGGTGTTCATAATGATGTTATTTGTTTAATTTTTCTATAAACTCTGGGTTTTGCATGTATTAGAGGCCAACCTAGTAAAAGCAACTGTTATAAAGTTTACAGGAAAAAGGGGCACATACTCAACACAAAAATTGTAAAACAATAATTTTACCATTGTATAGTATTGTATAAAATTTCCTGGTAAAGTTAGATAGTGATTAAAATCATTAAAATTAGTAATACCATACATCATTTCAAAATATAATTGGATTATTTTAATTTGATTAAAAATCGCTGACGTTCCATTAGTAGTCTACTACTAGTAGTATAAGGTATGGTTTAAGTGGATAAGGAAAATAATATTTTTTGCAGGCTTGGTAGAGGTGAACCATATTAACACAGCATAGCATGTCATCTCTCAAGAGATGGACGAGCAGATGCCTCATCAATTACGCCACATCTGATTGGCTGAAAGACCATCCAAGATGGATGTCAAAATTCACAAAAAATTGTGTTGTCATGGAAATGACATGAAAGAATGCTGACATTTTGGGAATAGTCAGTGCAGTTGTTTCTTGGATTTGTTGGTTTGTGGCTATGTCTGTTAAAACTGATTTAAGTCAAAATATGCCTACAGTCTGACATCCTCATCAACCAGAAATATTCCATGCTTACACAATGACGGCGGAACGTTTTTGCAAGTGGGGAGGGGGGCCATTTCATAAGGTCCAGTATGCGAGCGAAGCGAGTCTATAGAGGTTTAAGAGTTTTTATAGAATTCTATAGAAAATATATCCAAGAATAATTTCTCTATATAAAACCCATCCATGCTCTATAGAGATAGTGCTATAGAAATATAATTCTATAAATAATTACTTAGAAGAAAAAATGTATATACTTTTTATAGAAAGAGTTCTGATTAAATTTTATACAATTTCTAGATTTATTTATATATTTTCTCTTCAAGTTTTTAAAATATAGTGTCTATAGAATTTCTATTTTTCTTTCAGAATAATCCTATAGAATTCTCGTTTTATTCTGATATATTTTCTATGTAATTTTGAAAGACTTTCAATAAAATTGTTTATATGTTTATAAAGTCTTTAGAAATTATACAGTTAAATGTATAGAATGAATAATATACAATTTCTATAAAATCATAAATTGATTTCTTATGGAATTAATTATTTTTTACATTGTAATTGGGGATTTATATTAAAATTCTATATACATTCTATATACGTTTTAAAGAATGCGTTGGCAGATTCCATGGGAAATAGGCCTATGTAAATACTGTATTGTATTGCATTTTATTTTATAAATTTATGAAAACATTATAAACAATTCTTGAATTTTAAAATTATCTGGATTTAATAAAAAAAAAAGCGAATCGTCGATGATGAAACAGGTGAATCGTTGATGAATCGCTGATTTTAATTAAAGGGTTGCATTTTTTTTCGCGCAAGCAACAAGGTCTGACCATGATCTGCTGACAACAGGCCTAGGCCTAGTGACACCAGAATGTGTATGTTTGTTTATTTTTTATGTTTATTTGCTTGTTAATTTGTTTGCTTTTCTCTTTATTCATATTGTTTGTGTATTTTTATTTGTCTATATATATTTGTATATTTGTTTTAATTTATTCATTGTTTATCTGTTTGCATGTTATTTATGTATTTATTATAATTGACATCAAATAACATTCATATTATGTGTTATTGTATATATCGTACAATACTCAATCTCCTTTTCATTCACATTAAACATCCAATGTTTTAATGTGGTTATATTACGCTAGTTTGAAGGTTTACTGTAAGCCAATCAGTTACACTTACTATACATCTTTGTGTGGTTATTAGCATAAAGAGAACTAGAACTTCGCTCCATTAAGAGTGCCTACCTCCCCCCCACCCCACCGATATGCCTAAATACAGAATTCATGAATACAGGCGATTTTTTCTTCATGCTCGAGGATGGGTTTCAAGGAAACTTTACAGACGCACGTATACAGACGTCAATCAACATTTGGATGCTCAACTCAAAAAGGGAACTTGTAATGTTCGTTAGAAAATTTAAAAAAAATCTATATTTTATAATAATAATAATAGGTCAATTTATAAAGCGCAAATACTGTACCTTGAGTTATGAGTTTGAGTCAAGAGTTTGAGATTAATCTTGCTGTATTGTTAGCAATAAATATTTCTTGATTTGTTGTCTCTTATCTGAAAAAGAACTACAAAGCCCATTATACCATGATTATACTGAAGCTCTATAAATTAGGTTAGGTTCCCAGGGAGTGGATAAGGTTGCACAGTATGTGTATGATTGATACTATATCCAAGGACCAGGGCAACAAAAGCACATAAAAAATATGGTATTATGTACTACTAACGAATGAAAGAAATTTATCATAGTTGTTAGTGACCATACATATTTCTGCAAGAGAGTACAAGAACATTATGCTTTGGAAGGGTGTGAAGGGGGTTGTTGACAGTGTAGGCATATATACTCTTTTATGACAAAATAAAATAATGATCTTAAAATGACAAGTCATCATTTTAATAGATCTAACTTTTAAAAGAGTGTGTTTGCACTCTTGTGAAAATGATAAAAATAATGAATGACGCCATAGTTGTTAAAATATCCATGGTCTTGCAAAAATTGGAAGGTATTACTATCTGAAGTGCTACTAAACATCTAGCTCCTTTCCGTATTTGGTAGTAGTCAATGCTGTTATCATATGTATACCAAAAAAAAGGTACCAACTACAATGTATCTATTACCTTTTTATTTATATATTTGATAATACTCTATGAATTTTATATAACTTTATTCATTTCTTATAATAGCTAACATATTATCTCAAAATTTCAATCAAAGATTGATAAATATAAGGAAAATATTGTAAGCTGAGCTGAACTGTTGGCTGAGAGGTATTGTTCCTGCCTCTTGTGCTCAAGACTCCAGTTCAAACCTGGCCAATGTTCAGGTTTTAGTTGGAGCCTTATCGCTTGACTCCTTGAATAACCCTCACATTAAGTGTAAGGCGGGTAAAGGACAATGTTTGTATCCGTTATATATCTTGTAGTTAAGACAGGTGGCACTGCACTGCGGCTGCCGCAGGCAATCAGCCCAAATTTTTGATTTCCAATTGAATGAGGACCAATAAAGAATTATTATTATTATTGTTATTGTTATTGTTATTATTATTATTATTATTATTATTATTTATTAATTATTATTATTATTATTATTATTATTATTGTTATTATTATTATTATTATTATTATTATCAAAAACAATGTTGAAAAATACCAAAGAGACTGTGAAACAAAATAACACAAGAATATATAAAAGCCTGCATTATTTAGCAGTAGAATATTGAAAAGAAAATGTCAGTTTTTCAATGGAAATAATACAATATTGAAAACAAATGCTTCAGTTATGAAATTCAGATTTTTAAGTATCATTTATAAAATATTAAATATTGAAAACTAATGTATTAGTTATGAAATTCAATTTTTTAAGTATTATTTTAAAATATTAAATATTGAAAACTAATGTAATAGTTATGAAATTCAATTTTTAAGTATCATTTATAAAATATTAAATATTGAAAACTAATGTAATAGTTATGAAATTCAATTTTTAAATATCATTTATAACATATTAGATATTGAAAAAATGTATTAGTTATGAAATTCAATTTTTAAGTATCATTTATTAAAATATACCCTCATTTTTTACAGCACGATATCGCCATCTATACTCTTTTTTTACTGTTAAAATTCTACAGAGGTCAAACAAGCATTTCCATAAAATCTTTATGTTTTTATTTCACAAATAAGATTGCAAGCACTCTAAATATTTAAGTCACTGGATCCTTTAAATTCATTTGGTGTTTTAATTGAATGGATTCCATTTTGGGTTTTTAGCACTAGAATAACATTTTCTACAAAACAAACCGTCACACATAGCAACGTCGAATAGATACAGTCTTCTTACAATAACAATCCAACCATTCTCAGGTTGTCTCCGGAGCATGGATACACGATGCACACGATGGCTCCAGGATTTAAAACAAACCAAATGCCTGGCTAGGGATTCAAGTTATGCAATTCATGTCGACTGTCATCACAAGAAATTAATTCATCATTACAGAGTCTGTTTAGATTTATAACATAATTGCTGTGTAGATAAGAAATGGACTAGCACATATACCCCTGGTATTGGTTCGCTGATATATATGTAAACAGCCATCACTTGGCTTGGGGTGAGGACATGGCTTGTGGCTTTGCTTGATTAAGATGAGTAATGGCTCAGCTCGTTGCAGTGGCGGCACCAGCAGGGGCAGGGGGGCTTAAGCCCCCCCATTGGACAGGTCAAGTCCCCCTGTCGGACAGAGCTCGTCGGCCAGTCAGACCATAAAACATATAAAAATAGGCCCACACCAAGCCAACACATATGTCACAGTCTGAGAGTGCCATTTTCAGCAATCCAGAGGTTGATATTCTATAAAAAAAATCTTATTTGGTAGAGGGAGTCTCCTCTCAACCCCTTCCTTCAGCTCGAGCCTACGAGCTCAAGTCCCCCTGTCGGACAACTTAGCAGAGTTGTCCGACAGGGAAAATATATCCTAGAGCCGCCACTGGCTCGTTGTCCTAATCTATTTAAGTCTCACATACACAGTCAAATGTTTGTCAATATTAACAAATGATGTTTGATCACTTCTTGCATGCAGGCTTTAGACATGATCAAATCAAAAGCATCATTTGTCTATCCATGTCTGCTGAAGTTGTACAGTGGGGGACACAGGAATTGATCAGGGGTGGGAAAGAGTAGGGGGCGGCCAAGCTTCAGACAAAAATCTGATATATCCAGAGACTATAAGTATGCAGGGGTCCCAAAGCTCATGTACTCCTGTGAGCAGCCAACATTTCCCAGATAACTATCCCATTATTGTCTCTCCTGAAGTTAGCTGGCAATGGGCAGCAACATTTCATCAGATCTCATCTCATCAGATCTACCCTGGGGTGGATGCTGGACTTGGTGGTAGGAGTTGCGTGAGAGTCCACACCACAAAATTTTTGAGAATATGGACTTCTAGTTGCCTAGAAATTGCACTTTCGTACAATTTAGGGGGGTGCGATCGCACCGTTTGCACCTCATCTGCATCCCCCAGCTTCCAGAACTAGATTTTATCAACATTTAAGAAATTAATTTTTTCTATGGCTAAATAGTGTACAGGTCTCCCTCCCATTAAAGACCACATTTGGTACCGGAGCTTCTGTTATTTAGCAACTTTGGTGTCTAGTTAGAATAATAAAAATAAAAGACATTGGGACCAAATAAAAGTGACCTTTAATTGGAAGTGGTCTTTAATTGGAGGTATTTTAAATGGATGGAGAACTGCATTCTTTTTCAATTCTTCTCATTTGTAAATCTCTTTTAAATTTCATTCATTTCTTACAAATTTTGAAATGTTCAGATGTTGGATAATCAATAAAAGACATCAACCAAATTGCTGCACACGCCAATATGTATACAGGAATTAGTTGTTATATATCAAAATGTTTTCCTGAAATAAATTAAATGGGTCTGTAATTACCACCTACAGTCATGCTTTCAATCAGGACGACATGTCTAAACAGCAACTTGATTATACACAGGAATGTTTTCATCCAACTTAAATCGTGGATAATTCTTATACAGCGTTGCTCTAGATGAAACAGAAACACATCAACAAAACATTGGCAAGAGGTCCAACTTGAAAATGAAACGGAATCAATTGAATTAGAGTTAATCAGGGGGAGATTAAAGCATTTGTGGACATCTGGCAAAATAAAGTATTGGATGAGGCAGTCGGTAGTTAAATGTCAAGGGGATATAATCGGTTGTCCTGTACTCACACAGGGCGAAAATAGTTGCACCAAGCACCCTGCTTGCACACTTGTGTCACTCATAAACAACTCAGTCGATGCTAATCTTTGAGCACATTTCTGATGACAACTTCAATTGCGAATCAAAAATCCCAAGACTTGGTCACATGTTACCCATAATGCACTGGTGAATGATATCATGAAGGTACGATAGTTTTTTTAACGTAAGATGGAATATACAATTACTTCTAATGACTTTCAAATATTTAATAGGATATGCTTCTCTATATATTTATCAGCAAATGTTATTTTAAGTCTATAATCTAATCTAATTGTATATCCTAGGAATTGTCAAGGTAAAAGTCCCTTCCTTATATCATTAGACGTAAAAAAAACTATTACATAGTTTAGTGCCTGTCTCTTATACACATCTAGATGTGTATAAGAGACAGGTTCTTGCTGGCTCATGTTACTGTATCCCTATGAAACAAAGTAAATAAATAGATAAAAATATAGCTACTAAATATGACAATTATAAGGGATAACTTTTACATCTGTAATTCCAGTCATAACATTGATCACAAAGATTATTGGATCTAAATTGTTCATATTCAGAAAAATCCAACTTGAGTATATTTTGAGCTTGAAGTAAAATCATGAAATGAAGTTCATTATAATACTAACAGTAATTCTTAAGATGATTATGATGGAAAATTAATAGTAATTATTATAAAGAGAGTGAAGATTATGAATAGTCTTTTACGATGATGGTTACCACAAGAATAAAGATAAAAACCAAGTTCTGCAGGGCCAGTTGGTACCCGAACTGTGAAAGAGCGGCACACTAGTTAATCCTGGCAGATCATCTGAACCGGTTTGAACGCAAGACCTGTATGAACCTGTTTGAACTTGATAACATACCCATTTAATTCTGTCATCTGCCCGTTTCAGTGAACTTAATTTTTTAAATATATTTTTATCGTGCTTAGAGACACTTGCATTATGTGCTTATAGTCTTCTCCATTAACCTTTAATAAATGTTTACAGTAACTAAAAATGCAAGGTTTAATATAATAAATGACATAATAAATTATCGAGTTGCATTATGAAGTAGTCATTTTGTGATGTCTATATAAAATGCTTGCTCGGTAAAAAATTATATCATCCATAAAGTACCATACCGTATATAATATAATTTTAAAAGAATAATCTATGTATAATACACACAAATTCTGCAATAACATTAATATAATATCTAAAATATTGAGAGATTAAATAAGTTACTACTAATTTTTGAATAAAAAAAATATACCATGCTTAAAATGCTCTCCACGTAATATTGTCAATAAAACAATTCATTGCCAATGAAATAATATTTAAAAAATATGTATGGGAGAGTTATTTGAATTAAATAAACATAAACAAATAAATAATAAAAA